TTGCCAGTTGAGAGAGTCCAGGTGTTTGAGTATCAGATTTTTCCATCTCGTTTCCCTTTGGGATTTCTGTAGGTGATCCAGAAGTCTGTTTTTGAGGCTTATTTACATGTCTTTTCATTTCTACGGGGTGGGGGAGGTGTTTCTGGTGCCTGAGCAGCTCACCTTCTCTGCCCTAGGAGCTTGAGATGGCGGTGGGGGAGCTTCCTTCTCGGTGCTGGGACCAGCTCAGCTTCTCTGCCCTAGGAGCTTGGGATCTTAAAGTACTTTTTTATGTCATATTTATAGCATTAACATTCAGAAAATCAGAGATGATTTTTATGTAATATTGGAGGCTTGATTTTTTAATCTTATAGTGAAAAATAGAATTTTTATGCTGAAGGATAGTTAATGGCAAAGATAGGACATATTTGTATTTTATTTGTAGCAATAATTGGGCTGTTAGGCTACATTTTTTCCCACTTTTGTACTTCAAGGAGTATTTTTCAAAATTGTGTGCTATATGTCTTTGGAATATGTTTTGTCCTTCTTCTAGAATGTTAATTTCACAATTTAGCTATTTTAAAACTATGAAGACCTTCTTTCTTTAAATAGAATAAAAAAGCCTGTGTGGTGGCACACGCCTGTAATCCCAGCACTCAGGAGGCTGAGGCAAGGGGATTGCTGCAAGTTTGAACCCAGCCTGGGCTATATAGTGAATTCAGGGACAGCCTGAACTACAAAGCAAGACCCTGTCTTAAAAAACCAAAAAATAAAATAAGTAGAATAAAAAAGTTTGACTTTGAAAATACCGCTTTGTTTGGTGGTGTTATAGTTGATAGTATTAATGTGGTCATTAAAGACATGCTTATAATATGAGGAAAAAATAATGCTTTGCCAGCTAAATACTAACCTCAGAGCTACAGCAATTTTGATTAATATTTTAGTAGTGTTTTATTTACTTTTCTTACAAAGCAGTGATTTATTATAATGCATAGAAAAGTAAAATACCATGCCACTGAGATGAACCATTTGTATGTTTCGTTATACTTTATCTCCTTTTGCCAATAGGTTTCCTTTCTCTTGGAATATCTGTCCTCTTTGTCCAGACTTCTGCAGTCCTGTGTATTGGTAGATCCTAATCTTGTGGTGCAGGAAGAGCTTATGAAACCTCTTATCACTAATATCATTGGAGTTCTCACCATATGTACCAAAGATGTATTAGGTAAGCTTTATTTTGTTTAGTTTAGGTCTCAAGTGAATATTATTGAGGGAAAAAAAATCTTACTTTACTCCAGATATTCACTTCAAGGTTACTTTGGGGATTATTTTCTGCCAGTATTTTGGAAGGCTTCAGTAATTTGTTGTTTTATGGTTAGGATGATTTTTAAGTGGTTCCAGGAGACCACTTATGGCAAATATGTAGTATAATGAAGGATCATCCTTGTACTGTGAGTTGAAATGAAGGCAAAGCTATCTCATGTTGGAAAGTACAGTGAATTCTGGGTATTAATTGTTTTTTATAAAGTATGCTTAAGTTTACAAGAGTGATAAATCATTTGCATTAACAAGTATAAGCCAGTCTAGCACATACCAAAATTTTCACCAGATGTGGTGGTACATGCCTGTAATCTCAGCACTCTGGGTGCTGAAGCAGGAGGATTGCTGTAAGTTTGAGGCCAGAGTGGGCTATATAGTGAGACCCCATCTCAAAAAAACAAAAAACAAAGCAAAAATTTATGAAAAATCTTACTTTGTAAAATATTTTATCATGGAAAATTTATTGTAATGGTAGTAGTAGAGAAAATTACAGTAATGTAGGATCTTTATTAAAATCAAGTCTATTATATCAAATATAATTTTTTAAAATTTTAAATCATAGTTTATAATGAAATAGGTGGTCACCTGGTAATTCTTGACTTGTGTTTCGCTTTTACTTAGTCCTTTGAATTGTTTGGATTTGGTTGACTTGGGGTCTAGAAAGTGAAATGTGTCCTGATACCCAACAAAGCTAGTCCCCAGCATCACAGCCATGTTAAAGTTACCCCAGTGTTGGAGGAGCAGCAGTTCCATACCTGGAGATTCTATAAGTGGCAGTCTCAACAAGGAGTATCAACCCTCACCCCACCCCCAAGGAATTAACATTGAGTCCTAGGAGAAGGGAATGAAGCAAAAAACAAACAAAAATAACAAAACAACAACAAAACCTAGGTATTGCAATGGTCTGTGGTCTCCAAAGCTCAACTCTACCTGATAAAATCTTGCTACTTAGTTTTTAATTTCTCACATTGGATTTCCTTGGCTGTCTCCTGAAAAGCATTGAAATTGACTTCATGGAAGACAAAAATTATGTATGCAACATTAGTGCTACAAAACTGGTTGATGGATGGCTGCAGAGGACTTTTGATCAGTTGTTGATTCCAAAGTCACATGGCAAGAAGTGGGTTGAGCATTTTGACAGCTGTTGGCTGCCTTGTATATGCTTTTTATTGACCTCCTTGATTTTGTGTGTGACTTGGTCTTTGAAAATTAAGTAAATGTAGTACATATTTTATTATCCAATTACATAAAAGTTATTTTACCTTCCATTAATTATATCAAGTGAAGAAAGGAAAAACATCAAAAGCATCTGAATGAACATCTAGCTACTGGTTAAAAGATATTTTCTAATTTAAAAAGGTAAAAGTTCACTAAAAATTTTTTTTAGAAATTACATTTTTAAATTTTTTCTGGAAGTCAGGTGTGGTGGTGATGAGGCAGGAGGATCACTGTGAGTTTGAGGCTATCCTGGGCTCCATAGTGAGTCTAAGGCCAGCCTGAACTAGATAGTGAGACCCTCTCCCCCCAAAAAAAAAAAGGG